TTCCCCAAGCAGTTTGCGCACCAAAGGTGTTTTTTAAGCGCATGACGAATGCGATGCCCAACTATGGCTTTTTGCTCAGCACCATTTTGTTTGTCCTTGTTGCTTGTAACAAAATGCCGTTGATGCATCAAGTGACCCGATGCATTATGAGCATCACACACCGACCATTTAGTGCTGAAATGAAGAAGGCAACCGATTGAGAAAGGGCAATTGTTTCAAGGAGGGAAGCGTGGAATTCACATGAGCGAGCACCAAACTGATTGACGTGAGGCTGGTATCTCACCCAGTTGTCGACCACGATCTACGTGCCCTTCTTTGCGTTGATGGCGGGTACCAGCATCACACAGCAGGCGTGCGGACCTGGGAGACACAGCAGGCGTGTGGATTGTGCTTGTGGAGATAGGATCAGCTCGGTGCCTAACTTGAGCCAGGTTGACTACACCCTGGTGCCAAGCCGAGAAGGGGTTGTGCAGGGGGGTGCACGTGCGTTCAGTTGTGTGAAGTTCACTATGGTCAGGCCACACGTTGCAGAGAAGTACAGAGAAGTGACAAGTGAGAAAGACTCAGGTAAACCACCCAGGCTGCTTTTGAGGATCTAGGTGTGTGCTCCGGACGTCCTTCTCGCATGGTGTTAGCAGAACTTTCCGGATCTGAGATCCTCAAGCCACGCGGATGAGCAAAGAGCACTGACAAACTTTTGGGGATCACCTCCCTAGTCCTTTACTTGTGCCTGTGGTCCTTTGAAGTTGCTCCTCTCCTGGCCTGTCGAAGCAAAGCCATGCTTGTTCCGAGAACATTCAGAGAAGCTCGTTTGTTCCAGCTGCTTTGGGCACCCGTTTCGGTGTACATTCTGGACATGTCATGTGTGCCCTAATCTGTTTGTCTCAGCAGCCGAGGTACGCAAGTTTGCCATGATGGGCGTCTTCGACGGCCTCTCTGGAACATTGATGGCCTCTTGGCAGTGGACCCTGGTGCCAACTGTCGCCGGGTAGCCTCCAAAAGCGTGATTTGATGAGGGTTCAAGGGGGTAGACCTAAACCCCGACCCTTTCACAACATGGCTGTGTTGACTTCTGGCAACGCAAAATGAAGACACACACACACACACACACCTGCAATGGACGTGGTGCTTCATTAATACAGCCCCAAGATTCAATGACCCTATGCCGTAGTCAGGGGAGGCGAGTCAGGAGCACTCCTTCTCTTCACAGACCAAAAGCTGAGCCAAGGTGAAGCTGGATTCCTAGAAGCAAGCACGTTGAGGTTGTGGGGTTTTGGTGCACGTCAAACACACCGTTAAAGAATCCGCAATGCAAACATACATATACGTACAATATTCTACAATATACACCGCACACATGTATATTTACCTTCGGAAGAACAGACAAACGTTATACTTGGGGCCTTGCCTTTCTGTTCCTAAGTTTCCTTGTTTTTGCTAAACGCCCCGAACGCAGTCCCATGGAATTCAAGCATTTTTCACTCGACTGTGCATTTATGAAGTTGTTGACCAACACGTTTCGATGAAGTGACTGATGAATTTGTTTGGTGGAGGGAGGGCAAAGCTTGGACATCTTTGCAAAGAGGCCTGAGAAAAAGCTGGGTCGCCAGACGGGCGGATGGACACACCTGCACACACGGTACAAACATGTACAAACCATCTCATTGTTGAATGTACTTCGACCATCAAATGACACAAACCATGCCGTTCGAGTTTTTCACAATGCAGGTTTCTGCAACGATCATTTTTTACTTGGAACTCCCGCCTTCAGAGCACAACGTTCTGCAAAAAGCAATGCATCATGCATGTCAAAAGAGAACACGAAGGACAATCACTGAAACGGCGGCCGATTTCATCAAAGTACATGTTGAACACCACACAAGTCTAGCGGGACCGCTAGCATGGGCATGACAAATGCTTCATGCACCTCCTGAAGTCTTACAAACATTTGCGGGAGTTGAGAGAGGTGGCCTTCGGAAACGGTGTGGTTGATTTCCGTTTGTAACGACTGGACTTGCTCTTCGCTGGTGGTATGCACGCGGCCTGGCCCATGCTTACCCGGGCTGGAGCCAAGACTTGGAGCCTACGGCCGTCCCAAGTTCACCTTTGAGGCTGAGAATCAACCGTTCCACCGTGTCATGCGTGTCACTGCGTGTCTGCTTAGGTCTTGGGTGGTGTCCATACCTCGGGGACCTTACAAGTTCTGATGGGCCAGGCTGGACCGCAGAGATGATCAGACGGATGTGTGTGTGGGTACAAGGGGTTGACAAGTGGCAGATTGAACACCATTTCAAGCGAAAAAGGGACAATTTACAGGAACCACCTAAGAAGACAGATTCAAAACAGGAACCAACAAGATCAGTCACAAAGATGAAGAACAAGAACCACAGTTATCAAGCTTCCCGCCTGCCCGGGGCCAACACCTGCTGCGAAAGGAACGTCGTTCACCTATTCGACTAAACGGCTGAGGGTTGTTCCGTTGTTGCATCGTTTTGTTGGGGCATAGTGTCAGAAACTGGGCCAGTGCAGGACAACACCTCGCTTGTGAAGGAAAATGGTACGTAGCACAACACCCACATCAAGATCACGCAAAAGCTCCATGTATGCATGGCAATGCTCATGCTTTCAGGGCTTTGGGTTTTCCAGGTGGGAACGCCAGGAGAGATTCTGTTTTGGTGGATGTGAAGGCAGTCAGTTGCAAGTTCTCGCTTTCATTTGTCTCGGGCATTGCCAGCCCAACCTTTGTGAGCAGCTCAAAACACATGTTCAACCTGAATTTCAGTAGGTCTCACCACTTCTTTTGCAGGGTTTGCACCGTGCTTGGCTCAACACTTGATATGATGTGCGGTCGCATTGGGATTGACTGCCCAGAAACTGAATGGGGAGGCTGCAGATGTTTCCGAAACCCGAACTGGTCCAGGCAGTGATCCCAGTGACTATGCTCCTGTCAGTCCAGAGCTGAGAGATCGCGGGACCTGAACTGGCGAGACGGGGTGTTATCCTTTTTGGGGAGGCCTTCCGGTTGATTGAATGAGGTTGGTTTTTACCTGCCAGGATGGTTGCATCTTTGCACATGAAGCTAATGCTTCCACTCGGACTGCAGATCGTTCCTTAGCATGCTGTCGTGTGCATACCCATGCCAATGTTTGTCTCTTCACAATTTCGGTTCAACTCTGTGGCGATTCTTTGGCCTCGGCGACTCTTTCTTCGGAGTATTTCGCTGACTTGGATGGCTATTTCTGTCCACACGTCGAAGGGCCCTTCATTCACCAAAGGTGACACGTCGGTTGCCACATCGGTCGATTCCCGCAACGAGAATCGGTCGTTGCGTCCAATGGATCGATGGCACATTTGAAGGCGTGGCATGCCTTTCGGAAAGCTGGCTAAAACCAAGGGGACACCCACCGTTTAACGTCGTTTAACGTCGTTTAACGTCGTTTAAGTTGGGGGGGACACTCAGGTGATCCTTCTGCGGAAGCAGTATCATGTTTTGCAGTACCTGGGTGCGACGACCATTGTCATGGGCATCGTGTTGGACAAGGCACGGATCGATGGGACCAAAAAGGCCGACGCAGCCTGAACATGCCGATCATTTGTGACATTCACATAGAGGACATACACACACACACATACGCATGCATGCATACATCATCATACATCCATACAGATAGACAGACATACAATGTATATACACTATTTATTTATGCTTATCCACGGCTCTTGTGTTCTTTTGCTCCACATGCGTCCACATGGTTCCCTGATGGTTGCCCCATCAAAGGTGGCAAAACCTGAGACCCACACAGTATGTACAGCTACAGGGGCACGAGACGATGAGCTTGTGACGTTTTTCCATCTCAGGGCCTAAGACAATCCCGAGACACTTTCTGCATGCCTGAGAACATGGCAGTTGCCAACCAACAGGTATCAAAAATCAAAAGAAGTTGCTTCATTCAAACGACCCTGCGAATCGCAGTTGAGCGTGGCATAAGTTCAATTTCAGGTAGTGACTCCCACGAGTGGCGCTACGGAGACCCGTCTCGTGCGTGTGGATTTGTGGGGTGGTGATGAGACTGGGTTTCAGGATGTTGGCCTATTAGAGGGACTTCCTTGCAAGCAGGGTGGATGGTCAAATACTGGGGCTGAAAAGGATTTCTATAGTGGGGAGGTTTGCAGTGGATGTCTGGACGAAGCGAAGAAGAATGTCGGAGAGACTCAGACTCTTCACTTTTTCATCACAAAAGGTTTTGCCCTTTTTGGTTCTGCCCCGGCGTTGGGGATTCAAAGATCTCATGATTCCTACGTATGTTTCACCATGTTTCACCCTAGCTCGTGCCAAACATTTGAGGCTTAAATTCAAGCTGAAAGGAAGGTCCTAGGAAAAATACAATATATATATATAGAGTTATATGTCTTACCCTCAAAGGACTCAAAGGCCTTCCGATCACCAAACACCATCCCGAAAGACACGTGTGGACCCCGGAAAAGCAAGTTGTGCTTGTGGGACTCTCCTAACAGCCATGGACTGCCAATAGAGGTCACACCTAAAGTTTCTGGCAAATGGTCATGCAGCAATACAGGTAACCCTAGAAATGGACGTTTTTCCTTTCCAAAGTGTTGGGGGTCCATCCATGTTAGCCTGTGGGCGGGGGCACATGGTGGGCAGAAACAAACTTGTGCATGCTGCGTGTGTCGGTGGGTCCACGTCCTTTCCATGGCATTGTAGCCGCAGCCAGTTTGAGTCGGGGTTAACTTGAAGCACATCGGCCACATATTCAATTCTGGTGGTGAGTCAGCGCCTTCATCAAGTCGATGTTTTTGGAGGCATCAAGACGACGTCTTTTTTCCTGCTGTCGGCTGGAGTGCCTAAGAATGGCCTAAGAATGCTCCGCTTCAAACGTTCGATTGAACACCCGCGTCCAATCAGTTTCTTATGAGAAATCCAGATCCAGAGGGCGCTCGATTACGACTTGCTTCAGCCCATTCCAGTTGCTGAGCACACCATGGCGCTCGAAGACGTGCCCCAGTTCGCGCCCACAACAGCCACCCAAACGGCCCGGCGGCGGCTGGTGGAGGGAGAGCAAAGCAATGTGCTGGTGCAGCTGCTGCTGGGCGATGCCATTGGCTTCATGGCACTGAAGGTCCAACACACATGTAGAAGTCAATTCAAAGGTGCGGGGGTTATTAATCAAGAGTCTACATTACTCGTAGCCTAGACCTTCCTGGTGGGGGATAGGCATATACAGATAGGCTGGCCCATACTTGTCCGGATGGGCTACCCCGGCGAGTCTTGCTTTTCGCTGATGCGCCATTAGTAGGTTTGTTTCTTCAACTTGCACGGTCCAGCTTGGAGTGGCTATCATGAAGAGTCCGTCTGTTAGTGAGGCCCAAAAGAAAACCAAGCAAAAGACGTGGGAAAGGATAGTGGCCGCGTAGCTGAGGTGACGCCTTTGGCTTTGGCATTGAGATGTAGCCTGGCGGGCCTGGTGGCCAGTGTGGCGCGTATGTGCTGAGTCTGTGGGTTCGGGTACACTGGCACAACCGGAAAGTTGATTGGTGGAATGTTCCCAAGCTTTCTCGACCAATCGACGCGGGATCGGCTCGATTCAGCTTCCTGCCATGGAATACTGGACCGTCAGGACGACGGTGTGTGGAGGTCAGCCCCGCGCGCGAACGCGTCATGAGGCAGGATGCTCACTGGATCCGTGAGCATGTGACCAAGTGCACCGCTTGGCCGGAGAATCCGGCGATGAAAGAGGAGCACAAGGTGAACAATATCAGGCGCAGAGGGGAATGGAGTCATGGGTGTGGAAGCAAGGTAAGAGGGGCTTTGTTTAGTTTGATCATTTGGGCCGTGCCCTTAAAAACCGCGACATGTATGTGGTCCTCAGTGGTCCTCCAAGAAGAGGAGTGCCGCTCTCCGCAACCAGTTGCTTTCCTTTTCCAAGTGGGTGTGATGTGATTGTTGGATCTCAACCCCAGCTAAGACTCCCCCATGTAAGATGTTGATCCCGTTTATCAGGGGCATGTACTCTGACGACTGCGAGATGACGGTGGGATTGATGAAGGCATTGATGAAGGCCAAAGACCTTCAAGACCTCAGCTGCCTGGCAAGGGAATTGGACAAATGCGCAAAACGGTTGTTCTTTTGGATTTCGGCGTTCTTGATGAACTTGACGAATCCTCCAAAACTCGGAACCCAACCACTGAACAAAGCCAAATATCGTCAAACGAACCCAATTTTAACGTTCGAACTCCTACTCAGCGTCTCGGCAAAGGTCAAGCTTGATGCATCCTGGTGCTGCCGAATTTCACATCCCGGGTCAGGCTAATGAAGCACCAGTGTGCGTTGAACCGCCGGGGTTAACCACCGCAACCACCGTGATGAGCCACCAGATTGAAACAGATGGTGAAAAGGGGCCAATCTCTCCCCGAGAAACGGCCTGAAGGTGAAAACGACCTGCTGGAGGCCTGGCGAGAGGAGTGGCTCTTGGCCTTGCAACGCCCCAAACCCAGCGACGGTGAGCGCGCAGGACATGGGAGCATCAAGGCCTGAAGGGGTGACTGCCCCCCTCGAAAACAAGTCGAGCGACTGTGACAACCTGCATTACTAGTAGTTAGTAGTAGTAAGAATGCTCCTAGTAGCGATGCCAGGAGCCCCTAGTAGCGTCCTTGCTCCTAGTAGCGATGCCAGGAGCCCATAGTAGCTTCTTGTTCCTAGTAGCAAGGCCAGGAGCCCCTAGTAGCGTCCTTGCTCCTAGTAGCGATGCCAGGAGCCCCTAGTAGCGTCCTTGCTCCTAGCAGTAAGGCCAGGAGCCCCTAGTAGCGTCACACACACTTGAGAAGGTTGCTCCGTGGAGCGCGATTTCAGGCTGCTTCGCGGTGTGCATTAGCCCTTTACATTTAGGTACTGCATTAGCCGAGAGCATTAGCACCTTACTGCAAAACAACGTATGAGACAGCGTTGAACTGACTTAGCATCAATGAATGAATGTTAAAAATTGCAGGTACAAGATACTGCGTCCAGTATCTCATCCAACCGAACACCATAGCTTTGTTAGCACGGCTAGGTGAACGGCCGCCGTGCCCCCTGCTGCTGTACATTGGTCGCAAAGTCTTAGGGTAGATTAGAAAGAGCTAAGGTAGTGTCCTTGGAAACAGGAGTGGACACACACAAAGAGCCGAATCGGCGCAACTAGACCGGATCAGAAAATACCTGTATGATAAATAGTGGAAGGGCAAGACGTCGAAAAGGAGCTTGTAAATTAGAAAATGTAAAGTGAAGGACTGTAAGTCTGCTGGCGCATGGTCTTTTTCCTCGTGGCCGCAGCGCCGCGGCGCAGTGTTCCTTGGAATGACCTTTTGTCATATAGAGCTGCATCAACTGCTGTGCTGTGGTAGGTGCGAGGTGCTGTGGAAATGTGTATTTTTGTAATGTGTGGTGGCGTGACTGTAAGCCTGAAAGGCGTAGTCTGTGACTCCCCGCTGACTGCGGATCACGAATCTGCCAGGGATGTGTGGGAAGTTGAAAGGTGACTGTTCTGTTGAGGGGGTCGATCAGGAAACCAAGTAGATGGTCGTCGTCCACTGGCTCTATTTCGACTGGGTGTTCATAAAATTCGGGATGGGCCAGTGTAGTGATGGGGAGTGCTGATCTGTATTGTTCGTTGAGCAAGATGTAGCGGTTGTCAACGTAGCGTGTGTTGAGCAAGTGAAGGCTGGGTTGGTGCAGAAAGGTGTGGTATGTGGTTTGCCAGGTGTGTTCGATGAGCGTGATTGCAACGTTGCAGAGTGCTGGTGAAAGCTGACTGCCAATGCCTGCTCCTTGGATTTGTTTGTAGTAGGTGTTGCAGGCTTGAAAAATGCATGATTGAAGGGCCTGTTGTACAATCAGGGGGATGTGCTGAGTGTCGAGTTTGCGTTGTTGTGGGTGGTGAGATAAATCTTCTACAGATCGTGCCTGTGCCTTTCTTTGCAGGCCTTCTTTCGTGGGGAGACATCCTTGGAAGAGCAAAAGAAGGGCCAGGCTATGCGTGAGGACCCGGGAAATGTGCCTTGGACAGTGGGGCAGTGGAACAATTTTTTCTCACATCAATGTCAACAAAAGAAACTTGTGCTATAACTCTATATATATAATGTATAGATCTTCTTTGCATTCTCCTCCCTTCCATCGAACAAGCTGATTGAGCCAGGTCCAACCTTCAGCAGTCCAAGTGAAACAACTCCTGCTGAGGCCCCGCCCATGCGAGCCCTGCCCTTGGCGTTCCTACCACTGGAGGATGCTGGGATGGTCCAATCAGATGCTCACACATGGGAGTTTAATCCTTCACTGACTTCACCAAAAGTGGTTTGCGGAGTCTCTCCACATCCTTCCGCCATATGACCAGACCCTGTTGGCTTTTCAGGAGCCTCCTTGAAGGTTCTCAAAGAATCGTGTCCTGTTCAACACTGGAAGTACTGAGTCCCAGGCCTTTGGATCAGAAAACAATCATATGCGACAAGCGAACAGGCAGGCAAACAGGCCAATTTGGCAACTCTTCACGTAGCTTGCCGTGTTCCATATTCTCGGGATTGATGGGAGAGTCCGTTCGTGCCATTGCTCGTTTCAGCACCTCAGTGTGAGGTGTGGATGTCACAGCCCCGAGGAGTGTGAGCGGCTTTGTTCCTTGAACGCCGATGCCACCCATCCACATCCCAAGGCATGGCGCGGGATCGGGAATCCATTGAGTCATCAAGACACGCTGCTCGCCAATACGGAATGCAGTTTGATCCAGAACCCCAGCCCAGCCCCACCTGTATACCCTTAGTCAGTGGAAGCCTTTGTAGGATTTGTAGGTTTATAGGATTTCAGAACTATGAAGACGTGGGTGCTGCCCGTTCATCCTAGGCAGCAGCTGGCATTTCACACACGCACTCCAGAATTGTATGGCTCGGTGGACCAAGTGGCCTGTCGAGGCCAGGGCGGCGAGCTACCTGATCGCGCTGGCTGCCAGTGTCGCGGCCGGGGGAGCGGCAGGGAATCGAGGGGTCTTCGGGTTTGACCCATGAAGAACACATCCATGTGCTTTTGGAGCCATGACCCACGTCGATGAACCAAACCCGGGGGCGGATGGATAATAAGCGCACCAGCGCGAGTGGTTTGTGACCCTGGCCCTTTCACATTTTTTTAAGAAGTGTTCTTCTTGCGGAGGATCCCAAGACCAAAGGAAAACGCTAGAGAATTGGAACGGGTTTTGGTCGTCCAATTTCTCCCTCCACTGGGCCCCCAGTGGCGAGCCTGGCTCGTCGACCTTTCGCTGAAGCTGAGGATATCTCATCGTTGAGAAGGGCGCCCGCGACGAGATCTTCGATTGGTGCCTCGAGCGGTTGAGGGGCTCATCCCTGAGCCATGAGGCCACAGAGGAATATTTGGAGGCCAGAGATGCTTGTTCTGCTTTTTTCTTTGTTTATCTCCAGGGGGGCAATCCTCCTGTCACTTGTGACTGTTGAAGAACATTTCAGTATTTCAGATGGAACTTCAAAGGCACTTGGATGGACCTGTGCTTGTGGTGCTCCAAATTGGTGAAGGGCAATTTGTTAAAGGCCTTTGCTTGAAGAGATCGTTGAAGGTCAGGGTCAGGCAGCAACCTGGCTTTGATTAGTTTTTGCAAGTTTGGCACTGTTTGGCTCCTTCGCTCGGCTTTGTCTTTTGGACCTAGGAGGTTTGATCAGAAAACGACGTTTTGGGGGTCGTTTTGTGCGAATCCACGGGAGCATCCTTCATGCACCGGATGAAAGAGGGAATCTTAGCAATGGTGCATTGTTGCTTTGCTTTTCTTCCGTTTTCACTCGCGAGGCGGTGAAGAGGCTCCCAGACTTCCATGAATTTGGGCTTCACCTGCGGAAGATGCCTGGAAAGGCGGGGCAAGACTTGAAGAGGCATCCTCCATGACTTTCAATGTCCCTAGGCCCAAACTCTTTATGGATCCTTACTTCGAGGTTGCTAGAAACAAGAATTGGACAGTAGGGTGGGTTGGAAGAAGCGCCTGGCTCATACATCGTTTGCGCTGTTGCTCATGCATTCTATCAGCAGCGATTCGAGTGCAACCGATGATCGTTGCATGGAACCTTGAGGTTGTGCTGAGTTTTTTTGGAACTTGGTGGTCCACTTGAGGTCTCTACTCGTCCCCCCAAGGGGACGAGGATCCAGGGTCACGACTTGTGAACGCAGATGTGTTTCCTGAGGTGCACGAGGTGCTTTGTGGCCCTCAGCTGCTTGGATATAGCCGCTATGCAAGTGCATACAATTTTTGTGGCCAATCAATCAACCATTTCCCATTGTTGATCGAGCAGTCAATACACGGTCTGATTCATGTTTAATCCCTCTCCACCGTCCACACCTTGGCAGATCTCCACCGTCCAGACCTTGGAACATTAATGAAGTCGCGCCATCTCCACCCAGATCCAAGTGAGAGACATAAGCCATAAGCCATCCTTGAGAACAACCGGGTCCCTCACTTGCTTAGGAGGGGGATTCTTTTCTGGGAGAAGAACACCACCGGTGCAGACACAGAACTGGCGCTGTTCCAAGGCCAAACCCACAACTGGCACACTGTCGGGGTGGTGCTCAGGGTCTGGACCCGGTGCACGGCGTGGGTAGCGATGCGATGCGCACGGCCGGCGCCGTCCTGCAGCTGGAAGCGAGTGGGGGAGGGAGGATGTTTTGATGAAGAGCTCAGGGATCGGGTTGGGCATGTTTGCTTTTTTCTTTCAAACATGATTCTTTTACTGTAGTTCTATCTACACCCTGCGGGTTGTTCCGCCGGCCTTTTCAGCCAATGGTCCCAAGATGCGGATTACCTTCTGCGTCAAGAGGAAAGACTGCAACAGAGCACAAAAAGTAACAGCATCATCCAGAACACAGCTGGAGCAAGAGAGGAGCCTACATGAAATGACGTGCATTATGATGCAATAAGAGAACAGGGAGATGAAACTGGGGGATGCAAAGTATAGCCTGCCAAGCAAGAAGACAAATTATATGATATGTGACACAGTGAGCGAAGTAGACCGTGCGAAGCAGCAAACGTACATAGCATTCCGTCAGACGTGATACAAGAGAGTAATGAGGACATGTGTGGCATGGGGATTTCCAAGCAGTCTGAGTCTGCAAAAAACGATGGATACGTGAGTGCAGGTGCAAAGCCTGAGACAAACGCATGCAAAGCAGAAGCGCATGCATGGACAACGACAAGAGAAGAACGACGATAAGAAGGAAGCGCACACAACCTTTCACTTTAGCTATGATATATGTGAGCTACATACATTTGGGATGTTCTTGGGGGGGGCGGGGGCGGGGGGAGGGGGGGGTCAAGTTGGACGAGGCAAAAACTTGCTCCAGAGACACTTTTCTTATTACATATAGATTCAACATAACTTAAGCTACATACAAGCCACATTGGTAAAACACGCCGGCGCCCAAGGGCCGGCGGATTTAAATTGTTTAGCTTTTTGACGATGAATATATAAAATATATATACTGTAGACTGTATCTATTATTTTTGGAGGCTGGCGGCCCCTGAGTTTTTGCTTGGTGGCGGTGTTTGTGATGCCGACGGCAAGCAGCTGGCCAAACGACTGGGTATGAGAGAAGAAATGGGTGAGGATGGCCGGATTTTGCTCATGTGCATCCTGCGGCAGCGGCCCTGTTTTTCTTCCACTCAATTGGTGCGTCCCTTGGATGCGGACGCGCGACTCGCTTGGGACGGTCGGATGGCCCAGGTACCTCTTGCGCTTCGCCCGTGGCTGCCGGGACGCACTGCTGGCCTCGGTGCACCTCGGCGGCGACGTGGACTCCGTGGCGGCGCTGACGCTGGCGGTAACCGCGGCGGCCGCGCCAGGGGGGCTCCGCTGTGGGGAGCGGGGAGGGCTTCCGTGGAAGCTCTTGGAGGAGCGGATGGGGGGGCTTCGAAGGGTCCGGCAGGGTCGTGTGGGGAAGATGAAGATGAACCTGTTCCGACGATTCGATGGATTCTTCGTTTTTTGGACGTTCTGGGACGCGATGGGCTCGGTCCAGGAGCTGGAAGGCTTGGAATACCTGGTGGCTCGTGCCCGCGACTTTGCTCAGTGGCTCCGTGCGCGTGGCTGGGAGCCGAGCCCGGGCTCGTCCCGGAAGAGGGCGATGAGATGGGCTGGGCCGGCGAAGCGGCCAAGTGCCAAGACTTCCAAGAGGCGGAAGGTCGGTGGGTGAGGGCCCAGGTGGGGCCCAGGTCATGTTCAGCAAGTTACCTAACTTTGGTACCACTCAAGGTCCTTCTCAAGCATCTCCGACAGACGATTTTTGCGTTTGGTTCATCTTTGCACCGATGATGTGGCATTTGTCAGTCTGCTGGGTGTGCGCTGACCTGGCCCCACCATTGGGTCTAGACTGCACAGACACCAGCCGCAGTCGAAAAGCCAGTGAAGGGTGGGTGGGAAGACGAAGGACAATGGCAAACCAAAAGTGCCTCTTTAGAAGAGTCGTACCAACATGATGCGGACTTTGGCTCCAAATCAGATGTGCCAGTATTTGAACATGTTGATCTGCTGCTCCTGTTTTGGTTTCACTTTCTGGACGCATTGGTCTCTGCGCCGCTCCGCCCTGGCCCTGGCTCGCAGCTTTCCAAACCGTCCGAGCCCCCGCCCGTGCTCGCGCAAGAACACCTTGGTGCCAATGGCGGTGCCTTGAGCAGATTGAGCGCGAAGCGAGGGAGGGACTGTGCCAGCGAAGGTGAGCGAAGGCCGACATAGACACCCAGTAGTCTCAACGTTTCACCTAGATTCTGGAATGATGGAAGGATAGCAGGCGTCATTTCCAAGAAGGGATGCATCCAAGAGTGCTGTATCACCCAGACGAAGCTTGGAAAGATATGATTGAGGCATGAAACTCACCGGGTCAAGCCTGAAAGCCATGGCCCAAGGCCTTCGAACGTGTGGCGTTCGAGACAGCGGGCCAGCCAATTAAGTGCAAGGCAGGGAAATGAGGAAAAACGACCCGGGGTGGAAAGGAGGAAAACGATCCTGGGCATCATGGGAGCTTTGTCAAAAGATTCAAAAGCCTCAGGGAGTTGGACTCGAATCGCACCATAAGACGTGGGTCTGTGTCGGTCTGTGCTTGTTGAAGCACAGCGAGGCTCGGTCGAAGACTTTTGCCGGGCGCGGCATTGAAGGGCGGTTTCAGTGGGCCGGGAGGAGAGTTGGTCCGGCTCGGACGCCTGCCATCACACCAGGCGGCTGTGGCAAGAGGTGTGAATGACTTGAAGATTGAGGCGGCTTGGCTGAGATAGATCACCGGACCTCACGGGCCGCATGTGTGATGGGGGATTATACTGAAGGTATTCCGCTCCTCGACTTTCTGGGGATTTGGGCATTGGAAGTCACGAAAGCTAGCACCAGCTAGCTGGAGTTTTCCTTGCTTTAGCAAGTGAGGGGCTGGAATCCTCGAGATCGCCGCATCACGTGAAAACTTCATATGTAGAGGGCCCCCCCCTCCCCCCCCCCCCCCCCCCCCCCGCGGGTTCAACTCCCCCCTGGGACACCTCTTGGACACCTCTTGGACACCTCTTATGGCATCCACTTTGGTTCAACTCCTCCGTGGAGGTTTTGGGATACGATGCAACAGATTCAACAGATTCACAAGCTAAGGTTGGCTGTGTCATTGCTGTTCGTGTGTCTTACATGTTCACAACGTTTTACCTCATGAGCGAGACCGTGTGAACCATCCCTCCAACAGCCCCATGCATATGAAAACAGATTTGCCTCACTCCGCTTGATGTCCCACCAGTCCTTTGTCACTGGACGGCGCTGTATGCTTCGCCTCCACTGACACGGATGCATCCCTGCTAGCTTTCGTCACCTACCCTCGGCCTCAAGTGTGCTGTAATGAGGTGAGACATACACACACATATACACGCACACACATATATAATTAATTATATAATATAGCTATCTATCTATACAGATGGTGGTTGAGTAGCAAGTAGTGTGGGAGTGCTGGAAGATGCACCATCGTTGTCATACGGTTCACCTTCGTTGTCATTCCTCCCAAACCGCATTTGGGGGGCACCATGGTCGTCACCACCACTGCCAACACCACCACGAAGAAGAAGAAGAAGAAGAAGTAGAAGAAGAACCAGAAGAAACATAAACACATGTTTGTCACTTTTCCTCTGTGCCCTCTTTCAGCAATCGGGGGCGGCAAATCCCGCAAAAACTTTCTGAACGCAAAGCGTGTGAAGTCCTTTGATCAAACATTGTTCAATCCCGCAATTTCCTCAAGGCAGAGGCCTCTTTCTCAAGAGTGCCCCCAAAAAGGGCGACGTGTGACACTGATCTTCGCATGTGAGGCCCCATCTTCGTCCAACCTTTTTCCAGCCCTGTGAGCTACAGGAAGTGACCGTGGCAGTGCCTGGCCCGAGAGAGGTACGCTTGAAGGCCGGTGACCGGCCGTTGATGACGGGACCGGTGGCTGCGAAGCGTCCAGCGCTGGAGCAACGAGGACTGACGAATTGATCGGGAACCGATGGGTTGCAGAAGAGTCACTTGATGTCACTTTGGATGGAGCGATGGGTGATGGATTTTTTGTGATTTTTCTAAAGATTTAACTTTTTCCTCTGGGGCTGGTCACGTGACACGCCTCACTGATCATTCCTTAGGCCTCTAAAAGTTCTTGACGTTGGGCGAGGCAATTGGCCAAAACTTCGCGCTGGTTTAGATGTGTCCGGAACGCTTTGGTAGTTTGATATGGTCCACATGACCACCATCGTGAAATCCTTTTCGCTGGTCATCAGCGCGGCAGATCTCATGTCCCTCCAAGTCGTGCAGGTGTTTTTTAATGATACGGCGACCACCGAGATCTACACGTGTCTTGGTTGTATCTACACGTGGCTGCTTGTGAGATTTGCATGGGTTCATGTTTCTCCGGAAATGTCACCATCGGTTGCCTCAAACTGTAACTGGTGACTGGTGCGTCTCTTCCTTTTCGGCTTTTGTACGTCAGCCAAGTCTCGTCTTGTTTGCTTGGCTCGGACGCCCCAGGCTCTCCGGTCAAGATCCGGAAGGTCTGTTCCCCAGCCGCTTGGCTGCGGTTTTGACCCCCGCGGTGTGTGGGTGTGCTTGAGAGAAAGCACATGGTGCTCCAAAAACACCGTCCTTTTTTAAAGTCCAGCGAATATGTTAAAGCAATTGCTCTGACAGCTACTTGTATGCAACATGCAACATCTGCCAGCGTCAAAGGAGGGAAGAGACCAAGGAAAGGACAATGCTTTGAGCTGATTCAAGTTCACTAGAGGAAAGCTTTTATACTGAAGGGGGGCTTGGCTCCTATAAGGGTAGATGTGGGATGACATGAGACAGTTCCGCGAAGGAGGGGGTTCAACCAAGGGTTAAAATTGTTTATACAGAGAAAGCGCATTGAAAAGAAGGATGATGGATCCTAGCATTTGCAAACGAGAAAGGATACGCTCTTGTCCGGATGGCAACTCTACAAAGAAGAACCAGTATTTCTTACAGACTGTAGCTGTAGGTGCTGGATGCATGTTACCTAGATTTGAGGGCAGCAAAGTGCATAAAGCACGACGTAGTTACTCCATGCAGGCGGCATGTTGTCACAATTGTAGGAGATTTGGAACACAAAGACTGGGGAAAGGAGTAACCGATACAGAGGAAGAGAACCTCACAAGGATGGGTCACAAACCGACAGCTATTGTAAAATACTATTATTTACACAAATGAGCCTTTGTAAAGGAGGGTGTCTTTTAGGCCAAGCCTGGATGTTTTTTCTCAAACTTTGCCCCCCTGAGTCTGTTTCTGTGAGTCAAAAGGGTGCGGGGTGCCGCTCGGCGGGTGCGCCGCCACCAAGGCATCTTAGGACACGAGGCTGGATGCATTGTGGAGAGCGTGGGCGAAGGGGTCACAGGCGCGGGAACCGGGGTGCCGCCGCTCCTGGAATCAAATTCGGGGGGGCCGGGTGGAAGGTGGCTTTATTGATGTGTGCAGACATGTAAAAATGGGCACATACAGTAGACCACCAAATAGATAGAAAAATCGATCCCCGCTAAAAATGTATTGGAGACCGTTTCTGTATGAGAGTAAGAGGCACGGCTAGCATTCATTCATTCCATTCATTTGAGGAAGAGAACGGGAAGAGGAAAAGGAATTAATAAATGAGAGAAATAGAAAGAGCAGAGCAGAGAAGAAGCAAGAGAAAGAGGAAGAGGAAGAGGAAAGAGGAAAGAGGAAAGAGGAAAGAGGAAAGAGGAAAAAGGAAAGAGAAAGAGGACAGGAAGAGGAACACGAAGACAACAATAGGAAGCGGAAGAGAAAGAGGAAGAGCAAAAGCAGCTGAGAAAAACAGAGGAACAAGCAAAGGAAGCTAAAGTCAAAAACACAAAATGCTAATAAAGCAGGGCCACTCGGGAAGCATAGCTCGCACCACGGGCACGTGAACATGCCTTAACTCCAAAACACATATCCAAAACAATTCAAAAAGTCCGAAGGCCACAGGGAGTGGCGGTTGCCCAGGTGTGAAGCCGGGCGACCATGTGATCCCTTGCTACACCCCTCAGTGTGGGGAGCCGGTGGCTTGGAGGCGGTTTGCGATCAAGATGGGGCTGTTCGGAGCTTCTTTATGCACCTACAATTGGACGGTAGTTTATTTACCAGTAATATGTTATTGGTTTGTCGTTGTCGTTGTCGTTGTCGTCGTCGTCGTCGTCGTCGTTGTTGTTGTTGGTCAAGCTGAAGGCGCAATCACAGGGTTCTTACTAGATCATGATGACTCAGCCATCAGGAACCCTCATGGAGAAGTGAGGAGGTTGTTCGGACGCGTCTAGCCGAGGAGTGCATTTTTTGCTTTCCTCCCAGAGGCAGTGTGGGTCGGAAAGGGGTCTTTGCCTGTGACGGACGCTGCATGCATAGCAATGTGCGGATAGACGGTGTGATTTGTATAGTTTGATGGAACAGTCGTCCGAAGCAAGGGGGTCAAAAAAGAGGAGCTATTGCATGGTAGCACTCACCAAGATGCTCCCGCACAAGAGAACACGTAAGGAGCAGTAGCGAGTGGTTGTTTTGCAACCTTGTGTGGGGAAGAATGTGGTTCTTCTCCCTCATCATCAATTCTACCCGCAAATCAGGGATAGCATGGTAGCACGTGCCTCGCATTCGCCTCGCCTTGGCTGAGGCAAGCGTACCAACCTGTGCCCAAAAATCCGTGGCACCCAAGGCAGGTAGTTGGTGGAACGAGGACGTGCTGTATTTGACTCTCACGCAGTCACAAGTCAGAAGTGAACATGTGGACGGACCACAGAGGTTGTGTATCCAGCGGCTGTAGTGCATCCGGAGGCCGTGCTGTAAAATGAACCATTGCTACTAGAATGTAGCTGATTGGCCAAGGGGCAAGGGGACAGAGGGAGGCCACCTATCAAAGGGGCTTCCCACTCCGTGACGCCGTCTTGATCCATTTGGCTTCTCTAATGCACCTATCATGCATGCCTTGAGGGGCTCTTGGCACTGGGGCTAGTTTCAAGCTGTTTTGCATGCAGAAATTGACACCTCACCTGTCTTGCGCTGGCTCGTTCTTGCGCTTGGTTTTTGAGCAACCCGTCCAAAGCAATCATTGAAGTTCATTGAACTAGGGAAGGCGACGCTTGTTGCTTGTACTTGTGCGAAGAGTTTGATTTGGATGAGATGCATATGAAGTGCCTTGCAACTTTTGCAATGATTTCGATTGCATAAGAGCGTTGCGTTCATATGCTGACATGCTCCAAAAACTGGCCATCCATAGAGGCTGAAAAAAGAGACGACACCCTGTAACAAGGTTCCAAAAGGGGGCTCACAAATCATCTGACGATGCAATAGCCGGACATATACAATAAGAGCACCTCATATCAACAATTCCTGCTTCGGCCGCTTTGCCCACCTGATCATTGGCCAAAGATGGGGGTGGCTTCACTTCTTCTTTGCATCGATCTCCGCTCTTGATGATGAACCGTAGTGACGCAATGACCCCACATAAACAAGTTGAAGCAGCAAGTTCCAGATATACCCAGCTGGCTCAGCGGCCGCCGTATTATTGTATGATTTCTCTTCTATGTGAGGCAAGGGCGTGATGCCGGATGGCACAAGCCGCTTCACAGACTCAGAGGGCAAGACCATCTGGCACCCTGGCAGGGAAGCAGTGGGACTGCTTCGCGGCCCCCTCTTCAGGGAAGAAGGCTTGCATCCTTGCTTTTGGTGACCCCTGCGGCAAGTCCTGCTGCAGCCGCAGCCAACAACACTCAATTATATAATCAACTTGTTAGGACCAGGGCATTCAGCAGATGGATGCAGGTGCAGTTAGCCTGTTTTTGGGTGCATATTCTGCACATTTCCCTGAGATTGCTCCGAAACATTTGGGTCGAAGAGCATTGGATTTGTTGGAGAATTGGGAGAGTTTGCAATCAGTTTTGCTTGATGCTGATTTTTTGTTTTGAGGCACTTCATGGGCTGCTCCACCTTTTCCGAGTACACTGTGGTGGCAGACATTTCCTGTGCCAAGGCGGGCGGCTTGAAGGCATCAAGCACCATGAGATTCCAGGTTTCACATGACATTTGCAGGTTTTCATATCGAACTAATCCATTTGCTCAGGAGAAACTTGGGCCGGTCGAGACTGAGCCAACTGCAGTGGTTTTGCCATCTCCAAAACGGTTTTTGCCACGTGACAGGTGTCCCAGACGGCCCCACTGGATGCGGCTTGGACAGGGATGGCAGAGCAAATGTTGGTCTTGGAAAACCTGCAGTCCTGCCCAAGGGAACCGCATCATCAAACCATAATGCATCAGTGAGTTCACTTCTTTGATGGTGCCGGTGGCTTCCTCAATCACGAAAGGTAGCCTCACGCTAGCTGAGTTGCTTTCGCCCAAATCCTTCTATCCCCATATTCGTGCATCTCTCCCATTCGGACGACGCGAGTCGCCCCCGACCTTTGGAACGTGTCCACTTTCACCCGCGTCTCCTCTCACCGGGCGGAGAGGTGCCGGGCCGTCCGTTGTTGGCGTCGTTTCGGCTCGCTGCGTCGGCTCGCTGCGGACGCAGCAGGTTTGCTCCCTGCTGGGCTGTGGGGTGGCCACCGGCCTGGGCGCCGCGTGGAACACGCTGGACGTCGAGGGCGGCTCGTCGGCGGCGGTCTTTGGGCTGGGCGCTGTGGGGCTCGCGGTGATCCAAGGCGGGGGGGGCCGGTGGGGGTGGCAAACCATTGGCATCATCATCATATATCACCTGTAATACGGTACTTGAACTAACTGTTACTTTTCAAGCCGGTGGGGGTGTGGAAAACTGGCATTCGGCTGGCCTTGTGTAAGGAAGTCAGGTGGAGCAGTTTGTTTGGTTGGAGTCAGCGAAGTTCGGAGGTTGGTCCTGTCAGATCTTTCAGGAGAGGAAGGTTGGCATGCTTGGCATGGTTGGATGATCCATTGGTGAGGGTGTTGGAGATTGTGGCCATAGCACTTGGGCAGGTTGCCAGATGCGTGGCTGTGCTCGGATCTTTGCCATTGACATGCCGCGCGGCGAGAAAGCTGCGCGTCAGTTATCCTAGAAGAGGAGATGTTTCATTTTTACTTTCCACAGTTCCAATAGTGGGGAAGCATCAAGATTGCTGTCAGTTGTCTCCAAAGATTGTTTTTTTCCATCCTGCGAGGTCCACCTATACTAAAAACCCGAGCAGAGAAAAGCTCGGGTAAAGACAAGGCCGCCTCAAAGGCGCTGCCGCCCAAGAAAGGTCAGCTAAACATACTGGTGTTTCCGCCACTCAAACTGCAGGATTGCCGGCCTGACTGGTAGGTAGGGCCAAAGAAGGGGTCCTCAAAAAGACGCCGTCTAGAGCCACTTGCTACTGGAGAATTCGAGAATCGGAGAATTGGTTTGGGGCAGCCCCTTGGCGTACTGTAGTGCTCCTACATGTTACCTCCCAATTTTTGACTGCGATTTCATCACATTTGGAGCATTTAGCGTTTCCGTTTTCTTGCAACCTGGGCTGCCAACATGCCTACGCCCACGAGTCACGAGCCTTTTAAGAAGTCAAAGGGACTGGCCATGGCAGATGGGCAGGCAGGGTGAGCCCTCATAGGCCTCATAGGCCAAGCCTCACAGACCACTTGCCGAGCATGTGGTTCGGGCATGGGACCCCATTAGCAAGTTGGACTCGCGAAACATTCTGACGCAATGCATTGCTGACGCAGCCAGTGTCCATCATTTTGCTGTACACCGGTTGCACCGACGACACCGGTTATATACCGACGACACCGGTAAATATGCCGGGGTTCAGATCGCATGAGGCTTTGATATCGTTTGTTGTTGCCCGTCTTGGTTCTATCGTTGCTGCTATGCCCCAGACAGTGAGAAAGAATTGTCATGTCATCCCACTAAAACCTTTGCAATTGGCTTTCACCCATGTTTGGCGCTCAAAGAGGCCCAGCAGGATCGGCCATCTGCACGTTTCAGGAACCCTAAGAAGTTCGAATGCGCGAAGATGTTGGGCGCCACCGACTGTCTCAACCCCAAGGATTTCGACAAACCCATCCAGCAGGCGTGCACCACGGTCCGGTCCGCGCGCACCACGGTCCGATGATCACGGCGAGGTTCTTTCTTTTTGGGTCCGAGGTTCAGCAGCCGGAGCTTTTTCAAGATTTGTGAGAGACAGAGAGAGAGAGAGAGAGCCGCGGATGAGACCTGGAAGGATCTGGAAGGGGTAGTGGTTGACACATGTTGACACTGCTTTGATTGGTGTGTCTGATCGCCTGATCGCCTTCTTGGCGCCAGGTGATTGTTGGCATGACCACGTGGGGTGTGGACTACACCTTCGACTGATCCTTGACCTTGCCAAGCACGCCTGAGTATACAATCGAGGGTGGGTGCTGATTGGTACTGTATGGTCTTGGCCTTGTTCAATGACTCTTTCCCAGAGGTCCCAGAAACCTTTACCAAGAGGAACATGGATCATCAAAAGAAAACACACGCAACATGGATCATGGGCCCGATTGAGCCCCTCAAGCCCTGGGAAACTCTGTGGCTGTGTTGAAATCCCAAACGTTTCTTTTGCGGCATGTTGTCCGCAAACGGGAGAAGGTCAGCAAAGGCTGCGGATTTCTTTTTTAGATTTGCTGTTGCAGAGTCTGCGGAGATCTATTCTCCTACAGTTAATTGATGTTATACATATATATGTTTCCTCCTTCCCTTTTTGTGGGACGATGGCCGTGATATGCCGTGATTACCCAAAACCTGGCAAACCACAGTGCCTTGCAGCGCAGCCCAAGAAACGGAGATGCTCCGTAAGCCGGCTAACAAGCTCTTTCACAAGATGATAGGATTGTTTGGTTTTGTTTGCTGAATCCTGCCTGGGGGGCCCACTGGTGGGTGTCGTGCTTGCTGAATGAACTCCAGCTCACGATTAATTGGTGCTATGCTGTACGACAAGGGCGGTCCACTAGTTGGACTTGGTACCCCTTTCAAACGAACACAGCACGCACTTCGTACGTAGAAGTCATTCTTTCTATTCTGACTGGTGCTTAGTAGGGAATAAGGGAAGGAGCCCCCAATAAAGATTCTATTGGATCCATTCCCTCATTCCCTGCTAAACACCAGTCAGTATGAAAAGCCGATCCCTGTTTGCTGTGTCATTGTTCCGGCAAAGAGCCCTCCAGTTGACCTCCTTCGTGTTGGAGCGCGTGGTTGGTCCCGGTGCTTTGGACGGCTCCCACGGACCTCATGGCAGCAGAGGACCGACCGGTGGACCCAGATAGGCGATAGGTCAAGAATGGTCAAGATACCCATGACCCCCCTACCGTTGGTTTGGTCTTGTTCCCTGCCGGACCATCGTCATCCACATTTTTTTTCGAGGTCCTCCTCGCAGTTGCTGCGTGCCCAATTTTGGGGTTTGGAGGGCCCTCAACCCAATGGCTTTCCGAAAAAAGAGGCCACCCCATGTCCCGTTCTGTCCCGTTCTGCCCCGTTCCTCACGTCCCGTTCCTCGGTTTTCACTGGGCCTCCACGCCGGCATCGTGGTGGCGTCGGTTCTGGAGGCACTGGGCATTGCGAGGTGATGCGTGCAGCGCTGGAGTGCGCGCACCGTGGTTGGGGCGAGAGCTGCATCATTGGCGTCGCGGCGGCCGGAAAGGCCCGGATGTTGGGAACGAGGTCGGTTCAACAGATACAGATACAGTGGTTTCAAGAGAGGGGATGGCACAACCTCCAAGTTTCGTGGATATGGAACTTCATTTGCAGGACATCTTGGGGGGTCTGGTGCCATCTACTCTTGAAACCACTATAAACTCGATGGAGTTGAGTGAGACGCTTCTATGAGGCATTCTAGTGTGATATTTGTTTCCTATTGTTTCCGCATTTTCGGGCCGTTCCTCTTTAATTTTAGATGTGCCCAACCTGCATGTTTGCAATGCCAATGGCAAGTGTGTGAAGGCGCCCAATTTGGGCTCAAACAGCTTCGTCCACGACACTCCCACTTGTGGATGACCATCATCCAACAGAATCAAGGGCTTAAGCATGTGGGCAGTTTCTGGCCACATAGCATGTGGTGAGTCCAGCCGCTCGTCGCCAGGAGATCAGCACCAGACCCTTCCAGCTCGTCACCGGACGGCGCTGGGCCGGGACGGCGCCCTGGTCGGGTGAGAGGTGGGAAGGGAGGGAAGCACCATGAGAGGTCATGACTGAACGCACTAAGACACACACAAACTATATACTGTACACGTTTTTTTTTGGGGGGGGGCATCCAACTTGATGCATAGTCATAGATCATCTATATATCATTGTAAAGCTATGTATGGGAATCACCGTAAAAGCCGATAAGCCCAGCACGGCTGAACTTCTCAACTTCCTAGACTCTTGTGGGGTTTAATGAATCCTTTGGGTGGCGATTAAGATGGGGTGAAGACATGTGAAGACTATGACTAGGGACAGTTCCAAGTAGGTCGCTACCGGCCTCCAGATCACCTTGCGCTAAACTCCGCTAGAAAAAAAGGGTTGAAGGGATCCTTTATGGACCGCTGTTGGCCGAGAAGTTGGAAATCCATTGGCTGAAGGTCCCATGTCAGATGCTTTCCTCTCAGATGCTTCAACCAACCCATCGCCCCCATCCATTAAACCTTCGAACACCGCTCCATGCTGAGGCTTTCGGAGGATGGAAGGGCCGATCGGAGGTGCCTTCATTGGTGCAGATGTACGAGGCGGACCGGCACGGGACCGGCACGGGACCGGCACGGGATGAAGTGCTGGGGGATGACAGGGATGATGCACATGCCTTTTCTTGACTGAGACCCTGAGATCTGCGCCTTCGGCCCGCGCAGATCTCAGGGTCTCAGTCTGCTCGTTGTTTTTTGGTTTTTGGACTCGCTGTGTTCAGGGAAATGCAGATCTCACCTTTCAGTTGGGCTTGGCGCTTCACGCGCGTGCGCCGCCCAGCATTCTGCTCGGGACCCGGTAGCGACCGAGCACCACAGTGCCATCGCCAGTCTGGTCGCCTGAAGCTCGACCACTACATCACCCACAAGTTCAAGGGTGTGGAAGGCCGGGACGAGGGGCGACAGGGGAGTAACGTGAGCGATGACATGGGGGTGGCGAGAGTCCAACATCTTCGTGATATACATATATATATATACATATAGATGTATGTATGAATGTATGTCATGTCATGTCATGTCATGTCATGTCATGTCATGTCATGTCAT